TTGAGATAAAATAATGAGTGATTTTTGAAAAAAAAAAATTATAGGAACTAAAAGTTTACGTGTTTAATATATTTTTATTGAAAAATTGTAAACACAATTACTCAATAAATACTACATAAAAAATAATGTTTGAGAGGACTACAAAATTTTGCTATACTGCAATGAAAAATTCAACGGTAAGGTATTCTACTGAAAATTTCAACGAATATGTTGTTTTCATTGGCTATTCCAATAGAGTTCAAATTAAATTACATGAACTTTAGTGGATGTAAAGATTTCAACTACCTGAATTTCTATTGAAATTTATTTTTTGGGCCATATTTCAATCGTTGAAAAAATTGTCATTAGTATTATGAAAAAATTCAATAGAAGTTCCATTGGAAAGATAATTGCAGTGATAGATCCAAAATAATTTCATATGGGAGCATTAATATTTAGTTAATAGAAAAAAATATACCATCAAAATAACATGTCATTGTAATTTATAAATTATACTTTGCATAATCTATCACCTTTCTCATTTGTAATATATTTTAATAAATCTATGCAATCACAATAAGGTAAATATATTTAAGAAACCAAAAGTCAAGATTTTTCTAAAATCAACATAAGAAAATCGTTATATTTGTTGGAATTTTCTCATTTTTTTGTAGTAAAACTAAGACTCCAAATCTATAAAAAAAAATACATTATATATAATTGTGTGCAACTATTATTATGAAAAAATTTTATACGATAGAAAATATAACACATTCAATGTAATTGGCATTCAATTTATGATAAGAATTAATTTTTTTCAAAGCAAACGAGATACTTTGAAAGGTCCTTAATTATTTTATTAGTATTGTAATAACTAAATAAGGGGTAAGAAAGATGACAAAATTTATAACTCTCATTAAATCCAAAAGTAAAAATGTTGATAAAATTACTTAATGTACAATATCAATTGGAGCTGGCTAATGATAAATATAAAACATACTTGGGATACACATATATTTTAACTAGAACTTTAAGTACATAATATATAAACATATATATATATATATATATATACATACATACATATATATATATATATATATATATATATATATATATATATATATATATATATTCATATGTATATTTCTTTAAAAGTGGGTATGTTAATCTTAAAATTTTTTAGTTCACATTTTTAATACTTTCTATCATTAAATTTTTTAATTTTCAAATACTTCATATTTTTTATTTGTTACCTTTTTATATGTAATATATCACATCATTTATTTTCAATGATGTTTGAGTTGACCCATATATTGTAATAAAATAAAAATAATATAATTATTTATTTTGATATAAAATAATATATATATAAGTACTAATTTAAAATAATAAATTAGTCTTAAACTATATAATATAATAAAATTTATATTCTTGTTAAATCAATTTTATTAAGTATAAAATAACATAAGATAAACTTGTGGTATGTTTTCCATACATAAATTTGAAAAAATTCATATTAAAAAAAAAGTAAAAAAATGGGTGTAAACTTCTAATTGTTCCCATGTTTTGGCTAGAGCGCCCAAATCCGATATGTGTTTTACACGAGTTTGTCGTAATGCTGAAACTATGGCAAATGCACCTTAGGGTACAAACGAAGCGAAGCAATGTGAAGTCATAGGTAAAAGGAAAGGCTAGGCCAGAGAAAGGAAATGCAATAACATTAGCTATGTGAAGTCAATTACTGCTGCAAAATGAACTCTATAATGGTGCCATATATGTATTCAGTGATTATTTAATATTTTATCAAACATTGAAAAAAATTCTAAAATTTTTTAAACTAATAATTCGTATAAAAAGTACAATTTTATCAATATATTAAATTACATTTAATCTTATGTGATTATATTAATTGTAGCCTAATAAATAAGATAATTTAATATCATCATTATATAAAACACATACAAAAAATAACATAATACGTATGAATGTGCTTTAGTTACTTAGCAAATAAACTATTATTTGTCTATAGAATAAGAAACAAATAATATAATAGTAATGCAATGAGAAAAAAGAAAACATGCTAATTTTCTTAGAAAAGTATGAATACCAATATTTACAAACAAAAAGTCTTTTAAAATTACTATTTTTTTGTTGCTAGCGTTTAAATATATAGATTATGTAAGAAATTGTTCTCATAAATAATGATTATATATTATTTATTTTCAATTTTAAATAATTAAAAAATCTAAAAATTTGTATACATTATGTATATTTTAATCATGACTCCATAATAATAAACTTTACAAATGACTAAAAGTATCGTCATATAATGAAATTCTAATTCTTCTGTTGTCAAATATTTTAACAAATGATATGCTTCTCAATATTTTCTCATTGTTTTGTTTTATCATTGCAAAAAATAGATTATATTGTTCGTCTATATTCTAGATAAATAACACTAAAAATGAAATGTAGGAGTATCAAAACAATTTTGAATGTTAGAATTAAGTTGTCACTTTTTATAGAAATATTTATAATCTCATTGGTGTATTGTGCTTGAACATATGTGCAATTACTTTAGAGGTACTTTCAGGTAATGTATGATGATTTCAAAAAATAATTTAGCATCTCGGGAGAAGTACATGTAACCAAGATTTTGGAAAGTCAACTTTTATTTGGAGATAAAATTCATTCCCACCTCGTGGGGCGATGCATCAATGGGGTAGACACCAATATATCTAGAGATAGAGGAGTGTAGTAGTTTATACAGTGATAAAAAATATCAGCAATTTTAGTGACACCGTTAGTTATTTCATAGAGATATTTATCTTTTGTTAGTAGAAGCACCTTGTTATAAAGATCATACGATCATGAAGTTTGACTATATGTTGGGTCAGAATGTTTCTTAAGTGTTTGAATAAAATTGGCGTTTTGCCAAATTAATTAAGAGGAATTTTGCAATAATATTGATGTATTGGACTCCAACGACTATGAATGTTCTTATGAGAACGTTAAAACTAAAATGAAAGAAAATCTTTGTGTTTTTTCTTACTAGGAATTTGTTTTTTTATATATATTTGTGTTGGGGGTTTGTAAAACGTTATTTCACTATTTTTATATGAGGACATCATTATGTTAATTCTAAAAAAAAAAACACATATGAGTTCATTTTTCTATATTTTAGTTTATTTATGCAATGATATGTTTAATAAATAAATTTATTTATTTTACAAACTTACTCTGCAAAAATCATTCGACAACACGTGCATCGCACGTGCATTTTACTAGTACATAAAAATTGGGAGAAATAAGCTGATACAATGGGAACTTGGTGAGAAAAATTGTTTTGGGTGATTTGATTGTTAAGTATGAACTCAAATGCATGCTTATTGATTAGGGATGTAATTGAGTTGAGCTTATGTTCTTCAAGTTTGAGTTCGAGTTCGCGTCCTTTATGAATTGAGCCTCAACTTGTTAGCTAAACGAGTCAATAATTGAGCTCGAGTTCGCTTTTTCATCAATATTAACGAACTGAGTTTGAGCCTTAGCAAGTCAAAATTGTGGTCATTTTATTTCTATCTTTCCATGCATAACCGAAGAACGGAAAAGATTCTTCCAACGTCTTGGCTATAAAAATTAATATAAAATTCTTCTCAACAAGCCTTAATGAGCCTAGTCGAATCCAGTTCGCTAACTAAACGAACTCGATCCGAGCTGAGCCAAATTCATAAGCTGTTCATTTTGTTTAACAACTTTATTAATTAATGATGCATCAAATCAAACTCTAGTGAGATATATTGTTGAGTAACAAAAAGCAGATAGTCTGAATGACAAGAGTTATAATCGTTCTATTTGAATGTATTATATAGTATAAGTTGGTCGGTAAGGTAAAGTTGTTAGGTACACAGACGATTCTATTGCTTAGTAAACTAGTAGTCTTGAAGTTGGAATATTGTGTTTCTATTTATTTTGTTTTTAACAAATATGCATATTTTTAAATTGAAATATCTTACTCTAAAAATCAATATGCATATATGTGTTACATTTCAAGGCTACATATTCCCATAATGTAATACAATTTTAATATTAGGATGTCACAAGTCAGCACACTGAAATATTGACTATATACCCCAATTTCTACGTGCAACAATTATTTATTTTTTATTAATTAGTCTTCCTACACTTCATCTTTTTAGTTTTTATAGATTTAGTCTAAGACGAAAAATCTTGACATAAAAGGGCTTTCGCTTGGTGCTTTGACTTGACTATAAACAAAAATCAAATTCGATTATATTACAAAATCAATCTATATTATATTAATAAAATGTTGCTATTTAATTTATATGTTTCAGCTTAGAAACAATTTGATAGTTTTGATTAGATGGTAGAAGGCAAGTGTGAAATATCAAATAATTTAATATAAGGATTTGCCTTAATATAATATCTTCATTTATACTGTCTGTAATTGTGTCTATTGAATTTGCCTTTGCCTCTCCTTGTCTACTGAAATGTTGGGTATGTTGCTTTTTGTATATTCAATAGGTTATGAGCTTTACAAATCTTTCTTTGTAAAATGATCGAGAGAACTACTACAAGACGGAATAGTTTCGTCGGTGGTGGTTAACGTAGATTATCCACCCAACATAATCTATATGTTGAAAAACACTGATCAAACCATCCACCCAACATAATCTATATGTTGAAAAACACTGATCAAACCATCCCGTAACAGGACCTTAACATTTTTATATGATTTAATCTACTTTGTTAAAATACTGATAAAACTAATGGATGTTTATTAGGTGTATTATTACTAATTAAATTTGCCATTTATTTACTGAAAAAATGCATCAGAAGTCTGCAGAGAGCACAATTTTGAAGCCTCCAAACTAAACTCTATTCCATTTGCCTGAAAAAACTCCAAAAATTTTTATTACTTTATCTACACAGCATTACTATAGATTTAAAAAACCAGCATTACTATAAAAAAAAAAAGGAAAAATAAGTGAAAACCCCTCTCATTTTTCTGCAAAATCATCATCTGCAGATTTGAAACCGGCCGGCTCGGCATCAACGAGCATCTTAACAACTTCTTTCATACTCGGCCTTAGGTTCGGGAGCTTAGCCGTGCAACGAATCGCAATCTTCAAGACCTTAATCATGTCATCTTGAACCTGCTCAGAGACCACTTTTTGATCAAGAACTTTTCGAACAATATTCTCCCGAGTGTCGAGATGAGTCGAGACATAGTAAACTATATCCTTCCCTTCACCGTACTCATCTTCTACCGCTCCTTTTCCGGTCACTAACTCAAGCAAGACGACCCCAAAGCTGTACACGTCACTCTTTTCGGTGAGTTTGAGCGAATAAGCCATCTCTGCCCAAAAAAATCGAGCTATCAATCGAAAAGTTTACAATCGAAACTACCTTTTCATTCAGAAATTACAAATCTAACTTCTCAAAATTGTCAATCTTTTGTAGAAGTACCCTTCTACAGAGGTATTTTAGGCTATGTTTGGTAAAACTAGCTCACAAGTTAGCTCGTAGTTAAAAACTAGCTTTTACGATAAAAGTGTTTGGTAGAATTAGCTGATAAGTTAGCTGAAATAAAATTTTCAACAAGCTTATCTCAAAAACTACCCAAAGAAGCTTATGAAATGAACTCGAGTTTTTGAAAAAGTTCGTCCTACCAAACGAAGCTTATTTGAATACAGAAAACTTATAAGCTAACCAAAATAAGATATAAGCTACCTTATTTAGTTACCAAACACAGCCTACCTATTTGAACAAAGTTATGAACCAAGTAAAAAGTAAGAACTTACCGGGAGCAATATATCCGTGAGTCCCCGTGAAACAGCTCATCTCCGACCTGTTTGGCGAGACGTTATCCACCACCTTCGCCACACCAAAATCGGCAATCTTCGCCTCATAATCGTCGTCGAGCAATATATTGGTCGACTTTATGTCCCTGTGAATGATAGCCGGGCTGCAATCATGATGCAAATACGCGAGCCCTTTCGCGGCCCCAAGCCCGATTTTGTACCTCTGGCACCAATCCAATTCGGGCCGCCCGAATTTAATCACCCCACGTAAGGCCCGAAACAGATTCCCGTTTGCCATGTACTCGAAAACCAAGTAATGCGAACTCTCCCTCGTCAAACAAGCGTAAAGCTTCAGTATATTCCTGTGCCTGATGTTTCCCATTATTTTCATTTCAGCCTCTATCAATTTGATCCCACTACCCTTCCATAATTGCTTAACGGCCAGCGTGCCACCGCCTTTTCTCAAGTCGAGCCGGTACACTTTTCCCGTGCTCCCGCACCCGATCAGATTCTCCTCGTCCGCTTGGCATATTTCGTCGGCATCCAATTCGAACTCGTTCTTCTGGAAGCTCTCGAGCCTCCAGTTCGGAGGACTATTTCCCTTTCCGGGACCAAAGCATCTCCCGGGCCCGGCCCGCTCCGAGTTCGTAGAGCTCACGAGCATTAACCCGAGCAGTATAACAACCAAGACGAGCAAAATAGTGCAATAGATAACTACTTTGCTCTTAAAGAAGCTTTTGTTACTGATTTTCCCATCACAAAAGCTAATGTTCGAGTTCACGAACCTTTTCGTGCTCTCGTTTTCTTCTATGCACAAATTTCGGTTCCCAAACAAGGCCTTATCACTGGCTATGGACAAAAAATACGGCGGGACCTTTCCCGAGAGGCGATTGTACGAGAGATCGACTAGCGAGAGCCTCAGCTTGTCGAAGCCCGACGGGATAGAGCCCGTGAGCCCGTTTCTTGACAGGTTCAGTGCGTTCAACGAGGTCATTTTCGAGAAAACGCTTGGGATTTGGCCGGTAAGAAAATTTGAGGCGAGGTTTAAATCGACCAACCGAGGACAGGTAGCTAGCTCGGGAGGTATTGAACCGGTAAACTTGTTCGAGTCCATTTGTATAGACGTGATCTGTTTCAAACCTCCGAGTTCCGGTGGGATTTTCCCGGAAAATTTGTTATTGCTTAGAGAGATACGCTCGATAAGCGAGGCCTTTCCGAGCTCTTTCGGCAGCTCTCCCGAGAAGCCATTGTTCGACAGGATCAACTCCTGTAATTGCAAAGCAACCCCTATATGATCACCCGATATCCCCCCCGAAAAATTATTGTTGCTAAAATCCATCATGTGGACGTTCGGTAGGGCCCACACTCGACTCGAAACGGGCCCCTCGAGGCGATTGCTGCTGACCCTCAGCCTCTGTAACGTGGGGCAGTCGGCGTAATTTTCCGGAAAGCCACCAGAAAATTCGTTTTCGATCGCCAGCAGCTTCTTCAGCGACCCTAGCTGGCAGAGGTACTTTGGCAGTGGGCCCGAAAACCCGTTTTGCGATATGTCGATGGAGTTCAACGGCGAGTAACGGCCCAGATTCGGCGGGAAAAGGCCCGTGAACCGGTTCATGTAGATCCCAAACGAAACGAGATTACGCATCTCGCCAAAACCGGCAGGAATCTCGCCGGAAAAGTTGTTCCTAAAAACATGAAAGATGGTTAGCCTCGTAAGGTTCCCCATTCTCCGGGGAATCTCGCCAGACAATTGGTTAACCGAAATATCGAATTCCTGCAGAAGGGTCAGGTCGGCTATCCGGTCAGGCAACGTGCCGGTTAAGTTGTTCAGGTACAACTCGATTTTGAACAGGTTTTTCAGCTTGTCGATCCACCGGGGGAACTCGCCGGAGATTTTATTCCGACATATATCCAGCGTACCTAATGCCTCTAGCCCAGACAAAGATTCAGGTATTTCACCTCTCAAATTCGAACCTGCTAAAAAAAGATAGTACAAGTTCCTTAAATTTCCAATGGTATCCGGTATTTCACCCTCGTCGAAATCGTTATCTCCGAGGCTCAACGACGTAAGGCTCGTCAGATTACCGAGCCATGCCGGAAAAGGTCCGGTGAAATCATTATCACACAAATCAAGAACTTCTAGATTTTTCAGGCTGGACAAGTCAGGCACAGTGCCATTCAGGTAATTACCTGAGACATTCATTTTTTTCAAATTTACGCAACTTTGAAGTTCGGTAGGGAGAGCCCCTGAGATCCGATTGTATGGCAAAACTAAAGAAGTTAGATTTTTCAGAGCAGAAATCGAGGGCGATATAGTTCCTGATAGGGATTTGTTGTCCAGTGAGATTTCTGTGACTAGCCCAGTTTCTTGATCACAGAGAACTCCGTAAAAACGGCAAGGAGAATCGGAATCGGAATCGGAATCTTTCCATGATTCGAGGTAGTTAAGAGGATCAATCAACTGTTTCTTGATTTCCATTAGGGCCTGTTTTTCTACTTTCAGGCACATGGAATTGAGGGGAAAGGATAAAAGGATCAAGAAAGTGGTCAGCATTTGGAGGGAAAGGGGATTTGAGATTGAGTGTGAGGCCATTTGGTGAGAGTTGAGGGGCATAATGGTCTTTTCCCACTGGGAATTTTTTCCTCTCTACAGGTGTGGATCAGTATGAACAGTAGCAGACATTTCACTCTGCACCACATTAAATTAAAAATGTAATTATGAATATAAATATGGTGGTTATATCTAATTGCAGTAGCTAGAAAGAAACAATTTTTATTTCCAGGCAAGAGAAAAAACAACTTAAATAAACAAGCAAACAAGATGGAATAATAATGCCATCAATTATAAATATTACCTGGCTCAACAATAACAGACACAAAAAAACAAGAAAATGAAAGGTTAATGTTAAGATGTCAATTTGGAATTAGATGTGGGTTACAACTAAGAAAGACTATTTATTAATCTCTCTTTTAAGCAACTCAAATGAAAATAGGAGCTTCACTTATGATTTTTTGGTATTTTTCCTTTTTTTTTTTTCACCTAAGAACTAGCAAGGAACTGTTTTTGAATCTTTTGACTTAACAAAAAATTAATCATTCAAAAAAGTTTTAAAAACAAGGAATTTTTTTTTTTTTATCTAACCACTCACATTATGCACAAGGGTTGTTTTTATAAAATCTGAATTCTTGAAGGACACACACACCCAAACAAAAAAATAAGGAAAAGAGGGAGGCTGTAAAGAGAAAATTGTTGCTCAAAAAATCAGTAAAAATTGAAACCCAATTACCTCAAGTGCTGATGGGTGCCCCAATTCTTGAAATTCTATCAAAATAAGTTCCCAAATCTAAATAAAGATCAGATTTTTAGTTCCCAAAAGGCAAAAACCCATGTATCTGAAGAGCAGCTTCTGAATTTTTACTTAATTCTAATTCACCTGCAACCAAATATGTGTATAAAATTTCAGTTTTCAGCTAAATCCCAGAAAGGATGTAAGAAAAACAGAACCTTAAAGAGAGTATTTTTACTCTTAACACCAATCAATCTGCAACCAAAATCCCATAAAGAGTTCAAGAGAAAGGAACCTTAAAAGTGAGAGTTTAAGGTTTGAGCTAACTAAATCCCATAAAGGGGTTAAGAAAAAGGAACCTTAAAGAGAGGAAAACAGAGGACTAACCTTAGACTTTTTGGAATTATCACAAGTTTGCTGCCTAAAAAGAAGAAATCTTCAGTTGGGCCATTAATGAGGTCTTTAGGTTTCTTGTTTGTTGATTGTGAAAGTAGTGATTCAATGATGCGAGAAAGGACAAAAGACGGCCAAGAGAATGAGATAAGAAGCTGTGAGCGCATGCATATATGTTTAGTAGTGTTTATCTAACTTTTTTTAACTGAGCCATATATATATATATTGGGGAATGTGATGGTCACACTGTTGTGCTGGAGATAAATGACAAAGAAAGAAAAACAAAAAAGGAAAAAGGTAAGGGTTAATTGCAAATTGGCCCTGTAAAGTAAGTAAATATAAGATCTCCCCACAAGAAAAAGATGAAGAAGGGTATGTATATTTTGTTACTAGCCATATGATTTAATAATACATACTTTTTAATCAAATGCCTTACTTTAGTATTAGAATAAGCAATTGTATAATACCACCTAATAGTATGTATGTTTTGTTCAAAGATATGGTTTGTCGCCTTACTGTAGTGGTCATATTTGGCATTTGGTTAGCAGATTGAATTAGCTGATAGCGGATAACTGATTGAATTAGCAGCTTCGAATATTAGAGTGATGAAATAGTTGATTATGAAAAATTTGATGAACAATCAACTATTTAATGTGTAAAAACAACTAAGTTACAAATTACAATCTCCTGCCCCGACATGCTCATACATTAAGCTTTTTTTAAATATTGATTACTATTTGTGCCAACTTTTCTTGCTTTTTCTCTTTCTCCCAAAAACCCCTTTTCCCCAATTTTTCCGTGCAAGCCCTCCATTAATTCGTCGTCGCCCCTCCTCTTTGCGGATCTTGTCGTGTGACCCGGTTGCGTCCGTTGCTGTCCATGTGGGTCGCCCTGCTTGGAGCCTCAGATCTCCACCGGATGTAGGTCTTGCCGACACCTTGAGGCGCCTCTGTCACGGTTCATGTACCTGGGTCTTCGACCAGTGGTGTTCAGCGAGCTTCGGCCAGCCTCCATGGAGCTGGTCGGGACCAAGGTTTGACTCTCTCTCCCCTCTTTTCGCCGACTTCTTGGGTTTGGTGGTTAGGGTTGGATGGCAGTTTAGTCGTGGGCCGTTGGTGGCTGAAATTGGTGGGTGGATTTCGCATTAGCGGTGGTTGGGTGCTTGATCGATCGGGCTGGAGGGTTAAGTCGGTGGAAGTGGCATTGGCGGTCGACCTCCGGTTACAGCTCCAGGGGCGGTACAACTTTCATCGTACTGTGCTCTCCAAAGAGTAACTCTTCGTCTGAGGAATAAAATAGTGCAATACAATAACATTGAGAAAACAAAAAATATTGTTGTTACATTAAAAATCGAACCCAACACCTTGCACATTCCTAACACCTTTATTGCCACTGCACCACACATAAATTGATGTCAATTAGACAGAGACTTATAATTGTATCAATAACATCCTAAATTTTAAACCGTTGAACCGGCTACCGAGTTTTTAACCGGTTCGAGCAGTTCATGACCGGTTTTTGAGTACAGCGGCTCAATACCCCAAACCAGACCGGTGTTGTGGCTGGGTCCCGATCGAACCGGTCAAACCGGCCGGTCCGGTCCGATTTTCAAAACCATGATAATAATTGCAGTTTATATTTTTTCATTAGGATTTTCGTAAACCCTCATACGTACATATGAAGAAATACTTAAAATTAAAGGTCAACAATATTTACATTCATTAGGATTTTTCATGAAATGCTCCTACTTTTAGGAATAGGTTTTATTATATTTCTTCCTAGTTAAAGTGATGCAAAATTAGCTCTCAACTCGAGTCACATGACAGCCATGAGCTTTTGTAGATCGATGCATTTGAAGTCTCAATATATTATGTTGTGATAAAGTCAATAAATACATCCATTTAAAATCTGCATCATATAATTACAGATTTTCATCAGTCTTCTTTTTGAAAAACTTGGAGATTTTGTTTGCCTTTTAATCTTTAGTGGAACCCTAGTTGCCATTTTATCGTATCTTATAGTAAAAGCTGAATTGAAGTTAAAGTAAATCACCCATTAAATTATTTTATGTGTATTTGAGACCCAAACAATTTCATACTTATAATATTATACGATCATTTCTTTCATTTAATTTATGTGCTCCAATGTGGCGTCCATATATTAATTCGGTTCGGTCTCTTTTGGTTCGACTCATTTAATAAATTAGCTTAAAGTTCGACTTCAAATAAACGATATACAAAAAATTGATATTTTTGCTAATATATATACTCCTCGAGAATTAACTATATTATTTTTTTATACTAATTTACTCAAAATTCAATTCAATTCTATCTTCTAATATTATTAGTATAATTAATGATATCAATCAACAATTCTCGTATATCACATCAATATTAATTCACTATTCATCTATTTACATATTTTTAACTACTTTATCGTTTTTAATACTCTATATCTTATTTTTTATATCACATCAATTTTATTCATTCGCTATTTTTTTTAATTTTTTTTAGCATACAGAATCAGCATTACATTTTAACAATCTTTAAATACAAACTCAAAATCACGTTCAATCAACTTTATTTTAAGATTATCTTTAACTTTTTGTAAGTGGAATATAATTTGTATGAAACTATTACAGTCCCGTCACGGAATGGTTATGTGAGGACGGGATTAGCATTTTCTATAATTCATCTGTATTCAATTTATGACATGAGATCGAAATACGTCGAGAAAGGACATAAAAGTTACTTTTTTTTTTTTTGGTACAGGGACCTTCCGGTTTCTGGATCCACAGAGGAACCGACTAATCCGGAATCGAGTCGAGTAGGACCACAAGGGCGGCAAAGCTCTCCCTCAAGAGTTTTAACACTGTTGCGGGAGAGTTTTGCATATTTAAATATTGCTTTACATATTGCTTTCGGACTTCGGTTCGTGATTCGAAATTTTGATGATCGATTTAGTACATCACATCAAAGCACGTTATTTAAGCTCACAAATTGTATGTTATTAAATCATTAAAATTTGAAAGGCCCACAAAGCACGTTATGCGGTATTACCGGTATGACCGGTATTACCGTCTATTTTACCGGTTTTAATAAATATTAAATTAATTTGTTATTATTATATAAATAATATACAAAATTAACTTTAATTAATATTAAAATAAATTAACATCTAATAACAATATAAACATATTAAAGTTAAGTGTAGAAATTTCAATTTATATAAATAAAATAATAAAAATCTATTAAAAATATTTTTTTTAAAAAAAATGGCATAAACCGGTATTTTGACCGGTATTTTGGCCGGTATTTGCCGGTAAAACCGGTATTTTCCGGTATGAAACCGGTATTTTGGCCAAAACGGTATTTTGAGTGTAAATATACCGGTCGGACCACCGGTATCCAGTATTACCGGTAATACCGGCCGGTATGAACCGGTATTTAAAACATGGGCTAAGACATAGCTCGTGTAAGTACATGACCGCTCTTTTTCTTCTTTCGTTGTACTCTACTGCTTTAATTAGCGACTCTACAAATGTACAACGCATGTTTTTCTTTTTCTTTTTTTTTTTTCACCCTAAATAGCTTCAATTAGACATGGCCACGGGTTGGTCGGCCCGTGTACCGGCCCATAACTGACCTCGGATCAGCCCGCCCTAGCCGGTTTTTGAACTGGCACGTAACCCCTTAATGACCGGTTACAGGTCGTGTTGTACTTCTTTCTGACCCGTTCGGACCCCATTAAGTACCTACCTGATTAAATTTCGCTTGGAGTATAATTGTATAATGTTCAAAAATCAAACATTTACTTGATTACTTCGAAAGCTACCTGCATAGTTAATTCTTTTTGCATGTTTTTATTTTTCTTTTTTTTTTAAGCCAACCTTTTAGTGAGCCTCACGGGTGCTGGTACGATATTTATGTGGGCCTGGACTGGGCCGGGGCGACAACCCGGTCAAAACTCAATTATTGGTGCCGGTGGTGGAACAAAATTCAGTAATTCACCAATATTTATTTAATTCGTACTCCTAAGATGAGACTTTTCCTAACTTGAGATCGAATCACTTGATACTTAAGTTCGGTCTTAACTAGTTATCCAGAGATGTGTCGAGTTTGACTCGTTAACGTTTTGGGTCATGTTAGCAAGTTTGTAAAAGTAAATATGATGTAGCAGGAAGCATTAGAGGGAATGAGATTTACAGAGAACACATGAAGAACTCGTTCTTTCTTTCTGAAACAATTTTACAAATTTGATAACTGCCGTTCACAACGTTTCGTACAGTTATTTATAATATCTATTCTAAACACTTAGACTTAAAACCTATAATATTACAGGCCCAACACACTAACATAAATAAATAACCACAAGTCCAACACACAACATAACTAAATGCACACAAATACTAAATTAAATATAATAATAATAATAAGAATAATAATTATAATAATAATAATAATAATTATAATAATAATAATAATAATAATAATAATAATAATAATCACACTAAAGCTCGGAGTCGATCATATTTATCGAAATATGCTAATGCAATCTCGTCGGCATAAAAATAGAAAATTATTTATCATGCCTAATAAGCTGAGCTCAACTTGAGCTTTAAACGAGATTGTCTCGTTCATCGATCGAGCATTATAGTTTTACCAAACGAGTCTTAACGAATTGATTTGAGTTGAGCTCAAAAACAACTTGTTTCGTTTAGCAACTCTAACTTTTCTAAACGATTAGAAGAATTTACTAAGGTTAAAGCATTTATTAAGATAAGTTGCTTTAATTTGGGTAAATGATTCATATATATGTCCCAAATTGTATTTATTCTTAGGTTTTTAGCGTAGTAATAACGCATTATATTAAAATAATTTATTTTAATACCGACAAAAAATGATTATTTTTTATTTAAAATGTATTACAACTTTTTTTTTTTTTTTTTTTTTTTTTTTTTTTTTTTTTTTTTTGACAATTCTCACGTTGAATACAACATGAATATTCTATTTCAAATTGATTCTGGTAAATTGAAAAGCTAGGCCTATATATATAATAGTGATTCAGTTAAATTTGCAAAGTGAGCAAAATAACTAATTTTTGTTATGAGCCCAGAAATGCATGCTCCCTTTATCCAAATTTAAATATATTTCTAATTAATTCTTTTCATTATAGGCAATTTTTTAACTTTCTTTTTTTTTAATGTTTATCTTAATGAGATAAAATTTTGCATGTGTTTGGACATTTAGTTGGGTTGTTAAGAACGCAATGAAATAGGTTGTGCAAACTCAATTATAACCTATTAACCTTAGGTAAATAGGTGTTATTATTTCAATTTGGAAAACTATATCATACATAATTAACCTATTAACCTTAGATAAGTAGGTCATTAATTTTCACCTAAGTTTCTTGATCGGTCCTACTTGGACCCCATCAATGGATACTACAAATACATTCAACATCTCACACATTTTGTCTTTTTTTCATGACTCTTAATTAATTATCAGCGTAATCGAGCTGATCTTGAACACTTGATATTCGAGTTCGGGCTCAAGTCTTTATCATGTCGAGCTGAGCTCAGTTTGTTAACAAATCGAGCTCGAGTTTGAGTCGTTTATCAGTATGAACGAATTGAGGTTTAGCTTTAACGAGACGAACTCGAGCCTCAACAAGTCAAACTTACATAAAATTTCGGGTTTTTGAGTCTCAACGAGTCGGCTCAAGTCTCGAACTTAACTTTTTTATCAAATGAACATCATATTTAGGGTTTGATATGCAAATAACAATCACGTACAAATTCAATTTCTTAATGCATTGTGTGTCACAAAATTCATAGATCTTGACTTCTTTCTTATTATTATTATAATTTTTTTATAATACTGAAGTTACAGATGTTAATTACAGAAAAAAGTAAGTATTAAATTGAAAGGATTAATTAGATTAGATCATTAATAATAAAAAATAAAGAAGAGACAAAAATGGGGGAAAAGGTGAGCACTCATTATCATGAGGCACGTAATTGACATTGATGTTGACTTTCGAAAGACCCACTTAAATAATTGGGCAATTGATGAGATTTGCATTAAATTTAGATCCGAAATTCATTTATTCCTGCGACTATGACTGTTGATTCTAATCTAGCTATTTACCATTATCATCACTAAATATATATTTTGGAATTTAATTAAATACTTTTACCCACTCAATTTTTTAAGACTTATGTACACATATAAACGAAGATGGAATATAAATTAATGGAGTAAGAGTTAGGCATGACTTTAAATAACAAAGTATATAAGTGAATCGAGTGCAAGTTGAGCATGACTTGAATAACAAAATCACCATATATATAAATGATAAACTTATTTGTATCTTTACACGTACTGTTTGACTAATGTGGATAGACAGGCGAAGATAACATATAAATCGATAGAGTACATAGTTGTTAGGCACGACTTTGCATAACAAAAGATATAATTAACTCAAGCTCGAGTTGAGCATGACTTAGATAACAAATACGCGAAATAAAAGCATGAATTTACTTGTGTCTTTTCTCGTATGGATAATGGATTGACTAATTATGTTTGGAACTGTCTCGTCTATACATAGTCAGACCATTTGCAACAAAAATAACAAGTCTATATAGTAGCCTCTAACATTAATGGAGTCAACATAAGCACGAATGATTTCAGTTCATGCGGTAGTTAAGATCCCAAATAAGAGAAGGGAAGATTGAGTTTAGAGCAAGTGATGGAGAGAATATGCAGTTGCTAGATGATTGTTCTAGTAATTAAAAAAATTAGCATAACAACATTAAAGAGCTATTTTTATTAAGTGTATTTATTTAAACTGTAAATATACATGATGAATTTTATTTTGAATAAATAAAAATATTATTAATTCAACAACAATGTTCGGTTTAAATTTATTATATGTGGTGGCAATGACCTCAATCTGCCTTGCACGACTTAGAGTATGCATTCTGACATGTTCGTACACATACAAAATGGGCCGAGAATGATTATCAGCGTTAGCACTTCGACGATCAAGTGAATCCACAGTGATGAGGACGATAAACAATATATAATAAAGCTTTGTAAGACTGTGTATAAAATGTAAATGGACATAATTCACCCCTTTATGTAGGGATGTTACTTTGTTATCCAAGACTGTATGGATGCGCTGACTGTCCGAACTGCCCTATTCACATTGTTTCTTATCTCAGAAATATTATGTCTTATCATTTAGTCTTATGTATTAGACGATCTAACCCTAACCATACGACCGGCTTGACCTCACGTGAGGGTAGATCATCTTATCGACTAGGCTTATGTATCATGTCTCTTATGTCAATCCCTCGACCAGTGTACTTCTAGGTCGAGTTTCTATCATGCCATCTAAAAGTGGCCACAGGCCGCCTGGCCCGCCGACCTGACACGGCCTTGGCCTATTTGACATGCTTCCGGCCCGACCCGAATTTTAACTGGGTCGATTCAGGGGCATGCCTTTTCGGCCCTGGTCCAACGGACCGAGCCGACTCGAGAAATCAAAGGTAGATTTCGTTTTCATTTTTTTTTTTGGGGGGAGGAGTCCCATATTCGGGTTGGGCCAGACCATGTTTAATGTCGTCTAAGGACCTAAGTTCGACCTGTCAGCAATACCTCTTCCCACAACATCTTTGTCGACCTGAGGACTCCGTTTGACCCGTAGCACCGGTCGACCTAAGGACTCCGTTTGACCCGTAGCACCGGTCGACCTATCTAGCTATTCACCCAATCCAGTTGGCTGGTTTCTCGGGTCTAGTCGACCGGGTATGGTATCTGATATATATATGGATAACCTTTTAAGTGTTTTATTTATTAAAATATAAATTTGTAAAAATAAATATTACTAATTGTTAATTAATATATTTAATTGTAAATTAGTAATAAATATACTTAATATAAAACTATATATAAACCAGAAGTGGTTGAGGTTTATATATACATAAAAATTAAAAAAAAAAAGAAATAAAATAAAAAAGATCAAACTCATTGTATTGCTTAAACACCCACCAATACTGGATAATTCAATCGCAGACCTTGGCTTAATCCCTTATTCGCACCATCAATTTTCCGTCTCTAACATTCACACCCCACTAAGCGAAGAGCGGGAAAATTTTCATGAGGTCAAATCCGTCATCTTACCCACACTTCACATTTCATTTCACAGTGTACACAGCTTTTGCTCATTAAAATATTTTTCCGCCTGAAAACTGTCCCTGTCCTCCGCCGTCATCAGCCGCTCTTCCGATCGGCGGTCCGCCTTTGAAATACAGATTCCTGGTAAATTATAGTCGCGGTTGCTCTTTCAATTTCTGGAATTTGTTCCGAGTTCAAATTATTTTAACATTTTTTCAGAAAGGCTATAAAAAAAATCCGTGGATCGGGTTTGAAATCGAGTATTAGGGATGGTGGTGGTGTCCGGAAAAAGTGCCTTCTCCAAGGATATGGCCGTCCGAAAACGAATCTCCGGCATGTACGCTCAGTTTTTATAGTGTTTGTGTTTCTATTTGCTTGTGTTGATGAGCTTATGAGCTTTAGCTTTAGTTCTTCAACGTTTTGGCGCTTTAGAAGGACAAATTATTATGGATTTAGTGTTGGATGTGTTTGAATGTGTGATTGTTCTTTCGTTTTGATTTTGTGTGTGGGCACATTACTGAACAAATTGGCGTTGACATTATTCACAAAGGTGTTCGATACAAGTTCTTCTTGTTTTTACTTTTGTTTTTAGAATAATGTTTAGTTGATGGGCTTTCTGGTTACACGCATGTGTCGATGATAGATCAGAATGACTAAATGTAGATGAATTCGTAGAAAACATTTTGAAATCAGCGCTTGAACCTGTTAATGATCACCGAAGATTGCAGGCATTGCAGCAAAAGCATTTGAAGTAGACTTGCATTAGCTGCCATTAAAAGATTTATCATGCCTAGTGTAGTAACTCTTTTTCGGGTTTTTTTATTATAGCAACTAGTTTCATGGGGTTTTCCCGGAATTGGTTTGTCCTGCTTCATTCCCCCGGCTCGACTGTTTTCCCATTCTTTGTTCCTTGTGCTGTTGTGCAAATGACCCATGTATTACGTATTCGGTCAATGTACCTTCCATTTTCAAATTTCTTGAAGTTACTTATACTTAATTGTTAAATTTACAGTTATAACAAAAGAGGGCAGGATTTCCCTTCTTTAAAGGAGTACAATGACTACTTGGAGGAAGTAGAGGACATGATTATGTATTATCGCTTATATTATGAACTTACACTCTTGCATTTGGATTCAAGTTGAAAAAGAGGAAGTGTCTGCTTGCACTTGCTGTAGTTAATTTAGTTGATGGAGTAGATGTTCCTGCTATTGAAGCAAGAATTGCTGAGTACCAAAGAGAAAATGCAGACCACGTCATGAATGCTCAAGCCCGCAAGGTCCTTAATTTCTTCCTTTTTTTCTTTGATAGAAAGTGAAGTTAGCGCTATAGTTTTCTACCTACGAGTTTAATTTTTTTTACTATTTTGGGTTTTTTTGGTCTTTCATCATCACTTGATGTGCTGTGTTTGTGATTGAATAGGCTGAGGAATATGCAGCTGCTTTGGCGGCAAGCAAGGGCAACAGCCGCAGTCGAGCATTGATTTTGTAAGTCGATCTTTTGATTTATGGCTATTATTTTCTTGTTGTGTGTACTCAATAATTCTGATGGATGACTATTTGGTGATATTTTATTTTTTTGAATTTCGGTTTTGATTGACGTTTTCTGGACATTGTTGTATAGTTTATTTTTCGGAATGAGCACCTTTTAGAGCTTTGTATAATAGAAATATTTTGTATGCTGTTTGACTTTGCAAGAGGTTGAACAATTCTGTAATATATGTGGTGAAAACTGAGATATTGATATTGTAGAAGGGCACACGGCAAGGATTATATCAGCTTGCGAAATAATCCTTTTAGTAACAATGAGACTCTGAAAAAAATTGATTTATCGCTCTAAAATTTTGTTAGAATTAGTAGAAGTTGAGCATAAACAGTGTGAAGATGAACAATGTTACTCGATGAGTGGTGTCTACTCCATTTTGTAATCGATGTTGGTGTGTGCATTTTTGTTGGGCCCAGAATGGACCCAATTATCATGCTTGGGCTTAGCCCAAACGATGCCAATGGATTTGATCCTCACGTCACCTCTCAGATAATGCAGTGTGTGTGGGGGAGTGGAGGGAATACATTTATCAGTTTATGTATGTCTTTTGTACATAAGATTGAAATCAAAATAAATTATCTAAAAACCA